TTTCAGCTACTCCAGGAAAACAGAAAATATTGTGAGTTTTAGAAATAAAGATGATCTCTCACTGATATCAATAGTTCCTAGTCTAAGAAGCCAAGGTTCTGAGCCTGGTGGTGTGATACAGACATGTAAGCCCTGTACTCTGGAAGGCTGAAGCAGAAAGACAAGTTTAAGCACATTCGGTACAATTTAGCAACCTACAGTGACCTTGTCTCAAACTAATACATGAATAATGTTGAGGATATAGCTCAGTGCGAAGGCCTGGATTCAATCCCTAGTACCCATAGAGAACAAAGCTAGGGAGGAAGGAGGGAGGGAGAGAGGGAAGAAGGAGAAATGGAGGGTGGGAGGGAAGAAAGTAAGGAACAGAGGGAGGGAGGGTGGGAGGGAGAGAAAGAGGGAGGGAGGTGAAAAGGGAAAGAGACAGAAAGAGAAGAGTGAGAAAGTAAGAGAAAGGCAGGGTAAGAGCAAGTAAAAGAAAGAATAAAACTAGTAAACTTAAAAAGAAATTTAGATCCTGGGACTACAAAACCTTACCTGAAAAATGTGAAAAATGTCACTAAGAATACAAAATGATGAGCATATACATTATGTTATGTATGCCTGTGACCTTAATCCAGCTCATGAATAAACCAAAGCAGTACAGCAGGGAACTGAAGATGATGGAATGGTGTGTCCACCTGAAAGCCCAGGTGTTGACTCTGGTGAGCATCGAGCGGATGATGGTGCGCACCACAGGCCACGCAAGCGATGTGTGCAGAAGCTGCTGCGGCAAGTTCCTCAGAAGAACTCATGTAGAACCCGTGTAGAAGTGCCAGGCGCCCTGGTTATGGGCTCTGTGAACTTCTGTAAGGTTATTAATCCCTCTGGCTTAATAGATACATTACAAGCCTGTAAGAGTATGAGAACTGGCCTTGCATTTTAATTTCCTTTTAAAGACAAGTCCTTGATCAGTGAGCCTTATTTATACCACCCTTTCTAAAATATTAAGTCTGCCCTCTAGTAATATCTCAAACTATAATTTACTGGTGGTAATAGTCGCTCTTTGCTTTTCAGATCACCTGGCTCCTTCACACACACACACACACACACACACACACACACACACACACACCATGAGTACTTCCTGCGTATTGGGTACTGTTGGATCCTGTGGACATGACAGTGAACAGGCAGGTGAGATCTGTGCTTTCACGATATTAAAGCTTGACAGCAGCTGACTCAGTTCAAGCTTTAAAAAAGTAAAATATTCAGGCTTATTTAACCACAGATTTTCTTTGAAGATTGCAATCTGTTACTCTAATACCTGGAATGAAAAACCAACAAAAATTGAAGAGAAGCTTTGCAACCACCAATCCCAGCATGAGTTTCACGTTTATACTTTCTCTTTCTCAGTGCTTGAACAAATCTTTTTTTTTTTTTTTTCTTTCCCAGAACTGGGGATTGAACTCAGACTCTTGCACTTGCCAGGGAAGCGCTTATTCTACTGAGCCATCTCCTCGGCCCATCAGTTGTTCATCTCACTTGAGCAATTCTTAAGCCTCAACTTTTCCTCTACTTACCTGCTGTCTTCACTTATGCATAAAAACTGCCTCCTGGCTCAGACTGGGTAACCTCTATGGAGTGTCTTTTGGAGAGCTCCCTCACCTGGCCTTACTCTGTAATATCACCAAAGGCTTTAATGAGCTTTAAAGTATTTTGCGAAGACAGAGATAAATGCGCATCACACTGAGGCCCATAAAATGAAGTTCATGTCATTCTAGCAAATGTTCAGGAAAGGCTGACTCCCAGAGGTACAGAGGATACTGCTGGCAAGATGAGGACACCCGTCATCCATCATATACTTATATATGGATTCAGCAACTCAAATGCAGAGAAAATGAACAATCACTCTGAATAAATGAGCAAAAAAAGTGCAGACTTTTTTTTTTTTTTTTTTTTTGCAGAAGCAGGGATTGAACTCAGGCCCTTGTGCTTGCCAGGGAAGCACTTATTCTATTAAGCCATCTCCCTGGGCCCCAGTAGTGCAGACTTGATTGGGGATCATAGAAGTTTAAATTGTTTCTTTTCTTTACCATTGCTTGTATGAGTCTCTTTAGTTTAGCACTCTTACTAGTCAAATAAGCATGTACTATATTTGTCAATTTTTGTTGTATACTAACAGCACCTGCAGCACATGTAATGGGCCTCGGTGTGTATCCTAAGGTTATTTGACAGCATGCTGTGGGTATTAACTGTGTAGCTTCGAGCACTTCCTGAGAGGCAGCATTGCCTCTAGAACAAAGATTTTGGTGTGAATCTTGACTCTTGTCCTGTTATCTCAGAAACTTAATTAGCTTTTCTATGCTTCTGTTTCTTCATTTGTGAAATGCAGACACTGATAACAACTATCACATTGTTTCAGAATTATTAAATAAGCTAACATTTAGAACTAGTGTCTAGCACATACTGAGTGCTTTATAAGAAAGTTGTTAAGTCAATTAAATTTAAAATAAAATGTTTGGAAACTAAAACCTACCAATGAGGGCTAAGATGCAGAACAAAGTTTGATGTGTAGCTTGGTGCAAGAAACTCCAATAGCACACATGGGTCTTAAATTTAAATATGAATGTCCTCTCATTTCCCATAAAAATTAAAATTCAAAGGATCAATCCTGAGAATATTCCTAAAAGATATTCATATAAAGCAAAAACCAGAAGCAACTCAAGAGCCCATCAATAGGAAATGAATAAAGGTATTTTAAACAGGATAGTTATTTAACAATAAAAGTAACAGGCCACTGACACTGATAACTATGAAACGTGGATGAACCTTAAAAACACATGGAGCACAATAGTATATATTAAATATTATTTTATATTAAGATTAAAGTCAACAATGTAAATATGCTGTAATAGTTTAAAAAAGTCTGATGAATGAGCAAGAGGTGAGGTGGTAGGGTGCACTGGAGGGAAGAATGAAGTGACTTTTAGGGAAGGTGGGCATGTTGGCTACTTCTTTATTTTTTAAAATAACAATAATGTTGTGTATCATTAAGTGTTTACTAGATAGACAGATATAATACAATATCTTGAAATACATATGAATTTACAAGATTGGCTTGTATTTTTTTCTGATTTGTATCAATATGTGTATTTATTGAGACTTCCTGAATTTATTGCAACAAACATTTCTACACAATTCAAAAACACCACTAAGGTGGAATAACTTTGCATTGCCAGGTATAGAAATCTAAGTGCTGTTACCAGCTTTACATAAGTGTATCATTTCACTGGAATTATTTTTTCAATAATTTTATTGAGAAACAAATAGCAATGAGACAGTTTTAAATCCGATTAGTAGGACAGTTTCAATAATTAATACACTGCATATTATTGTCTTAGGGGTTATTCATTGTACAAGATGCAGACATGATATCCTGTTTAAAAACACTATTAGAACAAATCTTTCTACTCATTGAATTAAGAGAATGTAGCTATATAGCTATCCTAACTATTTTGAATATACAGATACAAAATGGTCCTTCCTTTGTATTTCCCTTTTTTGTTTAGTTTTGTCAGAGATGGGCATTCCATTGTCATTTAAATATTATAGGTGCATGAGTTCAGCAAAATATTCCAATATAGTGCAGTAGTCCATAATAGTAGTGGGTTTTCCATAAGACTGGCAATGTCAGAAGTTGTTGACTTGAGCTTTTCAGAGCTCAGCATATTAATATAGCTTTACTTTTTATACTTTGCTTTTATACTTTTCTGCTAGATGGTTAAGACCAAGATAAAGCAAGACTTATATATCAAGAAATGTAGCTTTTGTATCTGATAAGCCCAGTCAAATCCCCTCAGGATTTATCCTGTAACCCTGTACCACAGTTTGTAGATCCTTGTGAGTGTCAGCCATGTAAATGAACCACAGCCATTGCTTGACCAATTTGTTCTCTGTGAAAGCGTGAGAGAATGTTTTCGCTCCATGTGACTCTCCTTAGGCACATTCTACTGCATCAATCACTTTCCTCTGTGGCCCCAAAATCTTCTTGATCAGAAAATTTGGGACACAACTGAGTTATATGATGTTACAGTTATATGATGTCCTATGTCCTGAGTCTTCACTGACCTTGAAAGGCTAGGGCCAAATGTTGGCATTCCTTACAGCCCTCCTTTTTCTCTAATTTTTGGTCTGCAAATTTAGGTTGTTAATCCTCCAGAAGAGAAGCTTATTGTTATCACCCTACAACCTAGGCAGTTGAGTTTAACCTCACTATTGTCTGAATATCAAATATCTTTGGCATAACATGGAACAGGT